CAGTGCTTCATTCAACAGCTGTCACTTCCTCCACTGTCTGTCTCACTGCAGCCAATTCTAAAGTGATCATGACTATGCCCTACTTCCTCTAGAGGCTACACCCTTCCTAGTGAGAATGGTTAAGTGTCCTCATCGGTAGAGGCTGAGAGCAACAGCCATTTGGAAAGCACTTGAATGTCATTTTTCAGAGCTAAAGCCAATGTCTCATTGTTGCATGATCACAGACATGCATGTACTTACATAAGTATCTCGATTTAGTAATGACTTCCTCACACTGCCACCAACTTCACTGAGCAGTTAGCCTGATTTTGTTCATTTCCAGATGTGCAGCATTGGGCTGTAACCTGAGGTAGACAGAAAAACTTATATTAAAGAGCTTATTTTCCACATTTCTAATTAATGTAGTTTTAATTTTTTTTAGTCCTTTTAATTTTGTTGGCTTCACAAAGCCAACATTCTGTTCTGCTGTTTAAGCTTTTCATTATTATTCTTCTGAGACCCAAAATTTCTAAACACTCCTCCTCCTAGAGCTTTCAAGCTACATGCACCAAACTTGCCACAGACCTTCAGCCTGTTCTGACTTAGTGTGATATGACTTTTTCCTAACTGATCATAATTATGGTTTTCCCATTACGGAAGCTCAAATGGTCAAAATTCCCATTGACTTCCATTGAAAATTTTTGGCCTGTTATAACCTTTCAAACTACATTCACCAAACTCTGCACTGTCCTTCAGGCTCTTCTGACCTATCATGCTACATTTTTTTAACTGACCAGACTTATGGATTTCCCATAGCAGATGACCAAATATTCCAAAAAGTCCCATAGACTTACATTGTGGGAATGTTCAGGGCCTGGTTCTGAATGTTCAAGATTTCAAACTCCAACATTATAATGTTTTGTACTTGTTTTTCCACCCCATTTTTTACCCTATTTGGTCTTGGCCAATTCCCACCCACCAGCCATTTCAAAAATGTTTTGAAGCGCTCTTTGAAGTAAAGTTTTTTAACACTTGAGTTTGAAACGACCCTACAAAGCTCTGCTGCAGGTGGTCCCTGTTCGACGTGCCCCGCGTAGGGTTCATCACTTCAGAATGGAGTGCGGCATTTTCTCTCCTCTCTTTCCATGCTCGTCATCTTCTTTTCACTTGTCTCCATCATTTCCTCCACTTAACTTTGAAGAAAAGGCAAGTAAAATTAAAAATTCACAAGTTCATTTTTAAGTGACATACTGCAGGGTTTAAGGTCACTTGAAATTCACACTTTCAGAGAGACATCACTTACTGCCACCCACTCTCCCTCATGCTTGATCAGACTGCTTCTTTATTTTTAATTTATCTCTTTTTTTCAGTTTTCATGTTGAGTAATGGGTGAATCAGGGTGAAACTGCATTTCTGGGAACTGATTTCTGGTTCAGTTACACAATGTAATAGTTAGCCTAATTATTAGCTTGCAACCAAACCTGCATAATGGTATTATTTACATAATGATTAGCCTAATTTTAGCATGCCTGCTAGTAGGGTTAATATCCCAAATGGGGGCCCATCACGATATAGATGGTGTGAAGGTTACATGCATTTTTTTTTAAAAAATTTAAATCGCAAAATATATGAAATTGTCTAAAATATACATACCTGAGTTGATTTTGTATGATCATTACTAGTGTTTACACACAATAAAATATTATAAATTAGACAAAACTGGAAATCTTACTTGCTTTCTACAGTTAAATTCCTACAAAAGAGAATTTAAAAATTAATTTATTTTTATTACTTTTGTTTCTATGAGAATTTGGATGATTATCCTTTGGGACATTGACGAATTGCTGTAGTACCATGTTAGAAATGCATTTGATATATTTAAAATGAACTCAGCTTACAAGACTTTATTATGAAACTTTATTGCTTCAATTTATAAAAGAAATTGTAAATGTATTATTTTTAGCCATTTTTTACCCGTCAAAATTTGCTGCAGGAATTTAATGACCCATTGTGTGTTTGCATAATTTTGCATGATCTCCTCACAGGGGTTTCCTCCGGGTGCTCCGGTTTCCTCCACCCATTCCAAAGACATACATTGTGGGCTGATGTCTTTGGTGTGTGAAAGCGATTGTCTGCGGTGTGTGAATGCAATTGTGCCCTGCGATGGGTTCGCCTCCCCCCCGTCCAGGGTGTTTAAAATGCCAGTCCTGTTTTTTTTGGGTGTAAATAGACACCTATAAAAAGTAACATTTGCTAAGGGGAATGTGAGAAAGGCACAAGCTGAAACTCATGAAAATCTATCATTGGTTCCTTCATGTAATTGGGGCGAATCAAGTTGAATTTACACCAGGGCTCACTGGGATGTGTCCCAAGGATGTATCCAAGATTTGCTTGCTCTGTTTTCACCTGACATGACTAAGTAGAGCAGGGGGGAAAGGCCTGGCTTTATCCAAACACACTAAATAGTCCATAAATGTGCCCCATTTATCATGGTCATGTAGCCATTAGTCACAGTATCTATCTATCCATCTATCTATCTATCTATCTATATACATATATATATATATATATATATATATATATATATATATATATATATATATATATATATATATATATATATATATATATATATATATATATATATATATATATATATATATATATATATATATATATACACACACACACACACACACAGTTAGGTCCGGAAGTATTTGGACAGTGACAGAGTTTTTGTGATTTTGCCTTTATACACCACCATAATGGATTTGAAATAAAACAATCAAGATGTGATCGAAGTGTAGACTTTCAGCTTTATTTTAAGAGGTTCCACAAAATTACAGCCATTTTAAGCAAAGTACTTCCATTTTCAGGTCCATTCCCTCGTTACTTCAAGACAAATGAAGCAGATGCAAGAGAAGGAGGCCATCATTAGGCTGAAAAAACAACATATATCTATAAGAGATAGCAAAAACCTTAGGTGTCAACATTTGGGTACATTCCTAAAAAGAAAGAAAGCACTGGTGAGCTCAACAACATCGAAAGGCCTGGAAGACCACAGAAGACAACTAAAGTGGATGATCGCAGAATCCTTTCCTTGGTGTAGAAAAACCCCTTCACAACATCAACAGAAGTCAGGAATACTCTGGAGAAGGTAGGCGTATCATTGTCAAAATCTACAATTAAGAGACGCATTCATGAATGTAAATACAGAGGGTTTACAACAAAGTGCAAACCACTGGTAACCTTCAAGAACAGGAAAGCCAGATTAGACTTTGCCAGAAAACATCTGAAAAAGTCTCCCATGTTATGGAATAAGATTTGGACTGATGAAACCAAGATTAACTTGTACCAGAATGATGGGAAGAGAAAAGTATGGTGAAAGAAAGGAACAGCTCATGATCCAAAGTATACCACATCATGTGTCAAACATGGTGGAGGGAGTGTTATGGCATGGGCATGTATGGCTGCCAATGGAATGGGCTCACTGGTGTTTATTGATGATGTGATTGCTGACAGAAGTAGCAAGATGAATTCTGAGGTATATAGGGCTATACTCTCTGCTCAAATGCTACAAAACTGATAGGACACTGTTTCACAATGCAGGTGGATAATGACCCTAAACATACTGCGAAAGCAACTCAAGACTTTTTGAAGGCAAAGAAATGGAATATTCTTCAATGGCCAAGTCAGTCGCCTGATCTCAACCCAATAGAGCTGCTTTTCACTTACTGAGAACATGGGCTCCAGACTTCAGGCAGTCATTGACTGCATCCAAACATCCCAGTTCACCACAACACTCTATGCCTGTGAACCTTCCAGACCTGCCCCTGTAACTAAGAAAAAACTATTCACAAAAAGCTTGACTAAACAAATATGTTTTCAGCCTAGATTTAAACGCTGAGACTGTGTCTGAGCCCCGAACACTAAGTGGAAGGCTGTTCCATAACTGTGGGGCTTTGTAAGAGAAAGCTCTACCCCCAGCTGTAGCCCGCACTATTCGAGGTACCAACAAATAGCCTGCACCTTTTGATCTAAGTAGGCGTGACGAATCATAAAAGACCAAAAGTTCGCTCAGGTACTGTGGCACGAGACCATTTAGTGCTTTATAGGTCAATAGTAGTATTTTATAATCAATACGAAATTTAATTGGGAGCCATTGCATTGTGGATAAGATAGGGGTGATCTGGTTCTAGTAAGGACTCTCGCTGCTGCATTCTGGACTAACTGGAGCTTGTTTATGCATCTACTGGAACATCCAGACAGTAAGGCATTACAATAATCCAACCTAGAGGTAACAAATGCATGAACTAGTTTTTCTGCATCGTGTAGTGACAATATATTTCTTATTTTAGCAATATTTCTGAGATGAAAGAAAGTGATCCTAGTGATATTATCTACATGAGCTTCAAAAGATGAAAACAGAAAACATGAAACAGAAAGGTCATCCAGAGTTAAATTGTAAACAGAAAGCTTACTTCTAACTGCATGTGGTCCTAGTACAAGTACTTCTGTCTTGTCAGAATTAAGTAAGAGAAAGTTAATAAACATCCAGCTTCTAATGTCTTTTACACATTCCTCAACTTTATTAAGCTGGTGTCTGTCATCTGGCATTGCTGAAACATACAGCTGTGTGTCATCAGTGTAACAGTGGAAGCTAATACCATGTTTACGAATAATTTTGCCCAGAGGTGGCATATATAAAGAAAAGAGCAGTGGGCCTAAAACAGAGCCTTGAGGGACACCAATCTTTAACTTAGTATGCGAAGAGTATGATACATATCAAATATTTAAACCTCTACTTTTTTCATGAGTCCACAGTCCACATGAGTTTACAGCAATTTAGTGTTTAACACTGAGCGTTTTTACACTTCTTTTGGCTGTTCCTGTTAGGAGTGGCCACAGCAGATCAGTGGTCCACATACTTGAGTTTTTACACTGGATGCCCTTCCTGATGCAACCCTCCCCAATTTTATCCAGGCTTGGGACTGGCACTGGAAGTGCACTGTCTTGTGCAGTTCCCTGGCCAGGTGTCGAAGCCAGGCAGCAGCGGTGAGCGCACCGAGGCCTAACCACTAGTCCACCAGGGACCCTAATGTTTGATACTGAATACAGTCTGCAAATTAAAAATAACCAGACTACATACTGGAAAAATTATAATAATATTTCTATCACAACAATATACTGTACTGTTGTGCTATTTTATAGGATTATGCTGTAAATGATGTAATTAAAGCAGTATATTGTATATTACACCTGAAATGCTAAGCAGGGGTGAGAAAGGGAAAGTCTCTCTTTGTGTTGACATTTGAAAATTAGTGAATTGTTTTTGTGCCCTTTATTTTAGCAACTGCTTTAGGCAAACACAAACCCTCTTCGAGTTTGAGTTTATAGGCTTATAAAAGCTTTGGTTTGGTAAAGCACTGAAAATCTTCTTTAATGCAAGTTAATTCAACCATAGAGGTGGTTACGGCTGAGGCTTTGGGCTACAGATCAGAAAACCATGAGTTCAAATCCCAGCACTGCCAAGCGGCCATGGTTGAGTCTTGAGCCAGAGCCTTAACCTTCAACTGCTCAGTTGTATCCCGCCTTAGCTGTAAGGCAAATGAGCATATATAGTGGAATATATTTTATTTTAAATGTGCAATATATTACTGGAAACATACATATTTTGTAAAAAAAAAAAAAAAAAGTACAGTAATAACCTGAAAATATATTACAGTACATTAATATGTGAGCAAGTTGCCAGTAACCTGCCAGTAAATTGCTGTCAACTGTACAGTGGTCAAAAACTGACACTATACAATGCACCTATGTGTAACAGATGCACAGATATGTAACTACATTGTGTGCCTCTGTGAAAAGTGATAAAATGGCTAATGAGTGTAAGTACAAGGTAGTATCGAATCATCTAGTGAATCAGTGTGATTCAATTGTACAGGAACTAGTGCATTTATTTTTTTTATTCAAGATGATGTTTGGATCTACATTTGGTGGTCTGTGGCACTATTGGAGCTAAGTTAGTATACGAAATTGGCAAGAAAGCAAAGAAGCTGTGTATCCCTTACATATGGAAGCTGAATAAGTGGTAAGGGTTTGTGTATGTGTGTGTGTAAACTAGAATATGAGACGCTGTTTGTGTGTTTGAGCTGAAGTAGAAATAGGGGAAGCAGAGGAATAATAAGGCTGGATATTTATATCTGGATCATGAATTCATTCCTTCCTCTGTTCAGTAAATGTCATCTTATACTTGTGCTCTCCCTCCCTCCCTCCCTCCCTCCTTGTCTCTCATCCTTTACTCTCTCATTTATTCTGTTTTTCATTTACCATATTCTCTGATTTGGGTCACTGGCTGACTAAGAAACAACGCCGTTGGCCTATAAACAGCTTCCCCCTCCCATTCTGATGCACACAGAGCAATTAAATATAACACATAATTTCCTAACTCTAATGCACACACACACACATGCACGCACACACACACTCAGGACATAACTTACTTACCTTGTAGCTTACCTATTACATTAATATTATAGAGCATTTGTTCTTACTCTGTCTCTTTTCTGACTCATTCTAGAGTATCTAACATAGCAAGAGTACGTAGAGTATCTGCAGCCTAGATAAAAGACACATATATAAATAAATGAGACCAAGAAATCAAGGATACCAATTTATGTGCTTTCTTTAGTTCCACATCAACTTTAATGAAAGGTTTAAGCACTATTACGTGTATGTCCTCTGAATACACCTTTAGGTTTAGCTGAAGATGCTGTGTGCTAAGCCTATTATGACTCAATTTACTAATATAAAATATAAGTGTATTATGACATAATTTACTAATTAGATATTCTAATAATCTTTTGTATATACAATATACGTCTGTGTAAAAAAAAAAGAAAATTAATTCTTTTTTGTTCATTTTCAAAATTGTTCATTTTCCAAACTGCTGAGCATATGTGGCATTATTATCCTTCACCACCTCGGTGAGTGTAACAGCTGTGTGTTATTGCCTAATTATTATCGTCTGAAATACACTCATCTGTGTGGGTGTGTGTATAGATTCATTTGCATGGGCACCTACATGCATCCATGCGTGCATATGCAGCATTTTCTGTGTTTCCTGCACCTGCATGTTAATCACAACTAACATTTAGCACAAGCTTAGGCCTATTGTTTAGGTGTAACTTTTTTCTTGTGAATATGTTAGCATATTTGTGAGACTGAGTGTTATTAACAGAAGAAGTGTGTGTGTGTGTGTGTGTGTGTGTGTGTGTGTGTGTGTGTGTGTGTTTGGTGGGGGATGGGGTATTATATCTTGGTGGGGCCTAAATGCCCCCCCCCCCCCAAAAGAAAAAAAAATTAGAAGGTATACGTTTGGAATTTACAAAAATGAGAATTGTGTGTGTGTTTGTGTATGTTTGTGCAAGTGTGTGTTTGTGTGTGAGAGAGAGAAATGGAAGTGTGTGTGTGAGTGTGTGAAAGAGAGAGTTCCCCACTAAGAGGAACTCAGAAGTCACACTGTGCAAGCTCCATGTCAAAATGAAATAAGTGTGCACCAGATAACGAACACACAGACTTCATAATCTCATAATCCTCTAAAATAACTAATGACATCATCCCACTCTCAGCAACGCACAAGCACACACAAAGAAAAGGAAACACTAACCTATATAACCTATCATCAATCACTATTTAATTCTATAATTTATTTTATTTCATTTTTTATATTCTATTGTAGCTGTTGTAGTGTGTTAGATTTAATGAAAGGAACCAGTTCTCATGCAAAATGTGTCTTCATATGAACAAGAGCAGTGTGGTTGAATTTCTTTTGAACAGGACCTCTAACCTCGGCCCTAATCATGTTGAGAATTTTTTACGATTTTGCAATCCAATCATGTGGCAGCAGCACAGTCCATAAAATCATGCAGATACCGGTCATGTGCTTCAGTTAATATTTACGTTCAACATCAGAATGGGGAAAAATGTGATCTCTGTGACTTTAACTGTGACGTGGATATTGGTGCCAGATGGGCTGCTTTGAGTATTTCAGAAACTGCTGATCTCCTGGGATTTTTGCTCACAACAGCCTCTAGAGTATACACTGAATGGTATGAAAAACAAAAAACATCCAGTGAGCAGCAGTGGAAACACTTTGTTGATGAGAGAGGTCAGAGGAGAATGACCAGACAGGTTCGAGCCGACAGGACGGCTATGGTAACTCAAATGACCACTCTTTACAACCGTGGTGAGCTGAAAAGCATCTCAGAATGCACAGTATGGAGAACCTTGAGGCAGATGGGCTACAAGAGCAGAAGATCACATCCAGGTCCACTCTTGTCAGCCAAGAACAGGAATCTACAGTGGGTGCGGGCTCACTGAAACTGGACAGTCGCAGACTGGAAAAAGCCCAGGTGATGTTTTTTTCAGTCTTCAAATGGTTGTGATTGGCTGATTTAATAATTGCATGAACGGGCAGATGTTCCTATTAAAGTGGACACTGAGTGTATTTGAGGTCACTTTACAGTCAGATTAGTTTCTTAAATTATAGATACAAAGCTGTCAATCTGTAAACGTAAGTATTTTACCACTTTCTTTCCTACTCAGTGTTTCATTTTCATTACAATATTGCTGAACAACTTTCCCATTCGAAATACTGTGTTGTTTTGTGGAAATGGGCATCTGGGTATCCTTGTTTTTTTTTTTGTTTTTTTTGTTTTCCCATTTCCTAACAAAGTTGCAACCCTAAACGAAGTGTCGTGTGGAGAGTAGTGAAGGACTGAAGTCTATGCAGCGTAGTTTTTCTGATGCACATGCAGCTCACTCTAATTACTTCCCGGTTCACTGTTCACCGTGATAACAGTCCCTCAGAGGTCCCGGGCGCGTCGGCCAGCTGCTTCCATATGCCGTGTGTAAAGCAGGATGGCCTGAGGACAGAGGGGTGTGTGTGAGAGCGCAATCAGTGTGTGTGAGCAGTGTGCATATGTATAGCAATGGGCACTCTGTTGGCAATGGACAAGATCATCCATCAGTCACGTTCCGCCTGCTCTCACAGCACGGGTGAATATGCATTACCGCCCAGTCCCACCACACGCGCGCCAGCACGCGGCCACCTGCTACCGACCAGCGGGGCGGGGGCCAAGGGGTGGAGTCTGATGGGCGGAGCCGTGTGAAGTGCTGAGCTGGCTGAGGTTCGCCGCAGGGCGCGCGCTGCAAGAGCACAAAGCGCGTGATGATAATGAGCAACAGAGGCGAGCATGCAACAAAAAAAGACCTGTGCGCCTCCCTTCCCTCTGTCTCAACCCCAAGCCCCTCCCCAACCAGTCCCCACCTCTGTCTCTCTCTCTCCCTCTCTCACACCCACGCACACACACACACACACACACACACGCTACATCATAAGAATAAGCTACTCTCGACTTTACCGTTCCCATGGTAACTTCAGCTATGGAATGGAGCTGAGGCCTTGTGGCCAGGTGTGCGTGTGTGTGTGTATATGTGTGAGAGAGAGTGTGTGTGTGTGTGTGTGCGCGCGCGCTAGATGTGCACTTTGTGCTCCATGAGGCATGATGTGTAGGTTGGATTTTCCGGGGTTACTACTCAGCCCATTAGGTCAGCCCCCACCACAACAATTCTGCCAGAGCAGTGAACAATGTGTGTGATCTAATATCAGATGTGTAAATGCCATCTAAACGACGACAGTTCTGTGATCATATTTGCTCCAGTGTAGGAATAAGAGCACAAAACAAAAGTAGCAAGCCAGACATGAGGTGTAATTTGAGCCAAATATTTAGTATAATGATTATATAGCAGAATGAAACGATGCAGTTAATCTCATATTTTAAATTTCTCGTATCTCGTATTTTAAAACATTACAAATAGTCTACGTAGAATAATAAAGTATTTAATGTGGATTTTAACATCAAAGAAACCACTAAAATGGCTTAGAAACATCTCTGCATCTTGGCTCCATTAAGGATGCCAGGATCTATGAATATGCATATGCAATTTGGAAACGCCCTCAGGACAAGACATCCAAAAGAAGCTAACCATTTAAAAAGCTCACTTTAGTGCGGGAGGCGCTGTAAATGAA